GGAGGAGGAGAAGGAGGAGGAGGAGGAGGAGGAGGAGGAAGGGGAAGGGGAGGGGGGCACCTTCTCAGCGAGGATGCCCGGAGCGGCTGCAGGGACGGCGGCTACAGGAGCAGGCTCGTCAGGAGCGATAGCAGCGGGGATGCTCCCAGCTCAGGAGGCGGCCAAGATCTACCACACCAACTACGTGCGGAACTCGCGGGCCATCGGCGTGCTCTGGGCCATCTTCACCATCTGCTTTGCCATCGTCAACGTGGTGTGCTTCATCCAGCCGTACTGGATCGGGGACGGCGTGGACACCCCGCAGGCGGGCTACTTCGGGCTCTTCCACTACTGCATCGGCAACGGCTTCAGCCGGGAACTCACCTGCCGGGGCAGCTTCACGGACTTCTCCAGCCTGCCCTCGGGAGCCTTCAAAGCTGCGTCCTTCTTCATCGGGCTCTCGATGATGCTCATCATCGCCTGCATAGTCTGCTTCATCCTCTTCTTCTTCTGCAACACAGCCACCGTCTACAAGATCTGCGCCTGGATGCAGCTGACCTCGGGTGAGTGAAGGCAGCGGTCCCGGGTGTTGGGGGGCCCCGCGCAGCCCTGTCCGGCACAGCACGAGTGGCACGGGCGGCTCTGGACAAACTTGCGGCTCCAGCGGCTCCCGGGTCGGATGAGGGTCTGGGAGGGGCGGGGGGAGAGGCCCGGGGTTGCCCCGCCGGGGCAGGCAAGGAGAGGATGCTCGGGGGTGCCGCGACACATCGGCAGCTTCGCAGAGCGGTGCCCGTGCCTGCCCCGGGCCGCCCCGCCGCCCGACTGGGCGTGGGCCAAGTCAGGCTCAGCCCGCAGCTCCTCGCACCTCTCCGAGACCTGCCCGGGGGAGCTGACAGGTTTCGGTCTGTGAACCGACCCGTGGGCAGCTCCAGGGACTGCGGGCGGGTGTCCTCCAGCGCGTGGTCTCTTGTAAAGGTCAGGAGAAAATGGCAGTGAGGACAATTCGAGCAGGCGACGGTGGGTGAAGGCAGCTGCCCGCCTGTTGAAGCTTAGTCCCGGTCCCACAGTTCCACCTGGCCAAGGCAGAGCCTTCGGCTCCAGGGGAGGGGTTGGCGAGGTCTTTTGCTGGTGAACTGGAAGGGCAGCTGAGGTCGTTGGATGTGGCATGCATGAGTTTTGGTTGGGGTCTGTTTCACTTGTCCACAAGGTTTATTTCCCACTATGCGTTAGGAGTGCAAAGAAAAAGAATTCATTTCAGTTGCTGATTTTGTCTCAGAAGATGTCCTGACTTCATTTCACTTTTCCCATCACTTCCAGTATCTCCCTGGGGAAAGCGTATGGTAAGAAAGAGTGAAAACACCAGGACATCCCTTTTTGCATTTCCAGCACAGCTTTCCCTCTGAGTTAGTGGAGAACTGGTTATTTGTGTACAGATGGGAGGGTAACAAGAAAATAATGGTCTGTAGAATTAAGATAGTAATATAAGCAGTTTTAGTGAGACAGAAAATATGAATTCTTCAATCATTTGGGGGAAAATGGAGGCTAACATCAAAGCACACCTGTTACACGTCCTCCTGGTAAAACCCTGAAATTGAGAAGTTTTGGAATAAGCAGGAATAAGCTGTTAGGGAAACAGAGCAAAATGTCAGCAAAATGGGCTCACAATCACTTTTTCAGTCCCCTTAATTGACCTACATTCATTTCAGTTTCTGAGCAAAAATTCTTTTGAGTTTTCTACTGAACAGCTTCAGCATTATTCAATTTGCCATCTAGTCCATGAGTCTTGGTGGATTTCTCTGGTTTGTATGAAATAGCTTTAACCATTTCTCTCTCTGATGATGTGTTTCTGTGTGCTATTATGCATTTTTTCTATCACTGAAGTTTCCTTGTAATTTCTTTCTGTGTCACTTGGGGAATGATCTGCAGGCACTTGAGGTTGGTAGGTTTTTCCTAGTTCCAATGAGTTTAGTTTTGGGTTCGTTATCTCCGTACTGGGAGCCCCCTTTGATGCTGGTGGCTCCTCTGTCCATTCAAAAACATGCATTCTGATATGGTCTGGTTAATCGTACACACTCACGTCCCTTGGCTCTGGGCTGAGCAAACTGTTTCATCTTCACATGACTGATGTCTCCTCTGCTCCATCAAGGACTTCTGCTTTCAGCTGTCTCCTCCCATGGCTCTGCTGCTAAAAGGTGCCACGAATATTCACTGTTTTGATGCATTTCAGCATGTTTTGTTCATGTCCAGTATGCAGTAGGACATCAAAATTTCCAAATCCCTTTCACTTTCCAACATCAACATTTATTCATATGGTTGCACTTTTTCATGCCCAGATGTGCTAGTGCAAGGAAGATAAAATGAATCTGATTCTTTTACTGAGTTTCTGTACAGGTGAATAATGATAAAAAACCACCATAAGTGACTGATCTACTGGAGCCCAGTCTATACCACTCTGCAGGTGTGACTGGGGATACGTTTTCAGGCAAAGCAACACAGAATTTTTGTCATCTCCAAAGCTGGCAGATGCCCTGTTGGTATTAAAAGTCAACAAAAGGAGCTTTATGAGAAGAATCACTTCTCAGACGGCTTCCCTCCAAAATTTATAAGGGAATACATGCATAGCCAAGTGTTTGTTTGCTGTCTTTCCCAATTTGTACATGAATGCCTTGGAAAGACTAGAACAATATTGGGTGTTGAAAGAACCTGATTTTGTTGTTTGTTGAATGTTTTACCTTAATTCAGTATTTATCTCACTGTTCAATTCTGTATTACTTTAAAAAGTTTCCTCAGGGAAAAAAAACTACCAGAAAGTCCATATTGCTCTGGGTTGCATCCTTTGAAGAAAACAAAGGTGGTGGGACGAAAGGAAAACTTAGAGTAAAATGTGCAGGACAGCAGTGTTATAATGATATATTTTCTCTGAGCTATATGACCTACTTCCTTTATTATTAGTTTGCTGTTCGGAGAGTATAAGTAATAGATAATAGTAATCCTAAAATACTTCTCACAAAAAACAATATAGTAATGTCAACTACATATGCATATAGTTTTGTGTAGTACAGGAAAAAATTGAATCTGAAGTAGTGAAATAAAGAAGCATGTGAATATAACTTTGATTTTGCTTGCTGTTATGTACCTTCATAGTGTTAGCATTAGGTTAGGTCATATAATACTTTTAAATCTTGTTAGAATCAGGTTTCTGATGTGGGATCATGCTTGGTTTAGGATTGCAAATAAAAGCTTAGGAACTGATGTCTTTAGAAGAAAGATTTGGATCACGGTCTGTCCTGCATGAGTCATTATAAACTGTCCGCATGATATAGCTCTTGTTTTGAAAAGGTGATTTCTAAATAAGAAAAAGACAAACAGTATCTTGGGCACATATACTCTCAGTCCTTGTTGCTGTCTAATAATGTCTATGACTAGACATGTCTATGACATGATAAAGAAGAAAAATCCTAAGAAAAAATGTATTTCCTGTGTGTGCATGAGTACAGCATAGATTAGATGGTCTTATGATTTAGCCATGGCTTAGACTGCCTTTTTTGTTGCATGTGCATAATGCTGTCAGGGTACACTTGATACTTTGAGAGCCAATGTTGGCAGCCTTGTTCTCCCATCCCCTAACCTCCTCTTCTGCAATTGCAAAATCATAGGTGCAAGCAGTTGCATATACATTCACCTAATTTGAGCAGCTGCATGATCACAAACTCTTGAAATCATTAGGAATTAGGTATGATTATTCTTTATTATTCTACACCTAAAGTTTGCATACAAATAAAGATAATTCTTGAGATCTATTCTTTTATAGGTTAAGTAACTTAAACATTTCCATTCTGTCATTGTGATTTTTTTCACTATTAGATATTTGTTATTACTTTTTTCCTTTACTAGGATGTTTCAAGTTATAAAGTAAAGAAAGCAAAAGAAAGGCATAGAAGTGTCCCATGGACAAATAAGATTAAACCAATACATAGGTTTTTCAACAGATGCCTAAGTGCATGCCCACAGTAAGAGGACCATTGAACAAAACATAAAAGCTCTGTACTTTGGCAAACCACAATCCAGTGATCTTTGACAGTGGTCTGTAACATGGGCCTATGAAAACATCAGAGCAGGTAAAGCTTGTTTTGCTCTCCATGTTTTTGGTTCTTCAGCACTTTTACTCAGGGGCTTCCTCAGATGGATCTTGGCATTTGCTTGGATCTTGGTGTTGGCACTTGCTGGATTTTGTTTTTGAGACTTTGGTCACATTTTGAACCTGTGTAAACTTTTAGCATTTGCAATGCCCCAGAGCAAGGAGTTCCACAGCTTGATGTGTGTTGTGTGAAAATTCAATGGTCTTTGTGTTTTAAATGTTGTGCCAGCCCATTTCATTTGATACTCTCAGCTCATGCATTGGAAGAGGCTGTGAACAGGGAACTTGGAGACACATTCCCAGTCCTGGTTCTGATTACACATTTGCTGTATCCCCTCAGTTACCTGGTTTTGAGACCTTTGGCTTAGTCAGTTCTTAGTTAGTTTGTACCGAACTTGTGATCATCTCTGCTGCCCTGCCTATAGCCTTTTCCAGTCTACTGTATCTCTTCAGAGTCCGTGGGACCAGACCTACACACAATATTCACGACAGACAAACCAGCCATTCATACAGTGACTTAATAAAATTCTGTCTTTTGTTCTCTGTTCCTTTCCTACTAACTACTAATACACAGTGTTTCCCTGTTAGTGAACAGTGGGCTGAGGTTTTCACACAGCTGCCTATTATAACCCCAAGATCTCAGTCCTGAAGTTGTAATAATCACCTTGGGGCACATAGTATTGTGTAGTTAGGTTTTTTCCCCCTCTTTAAGAAATGACTTCATATTTATCTACACTGACTTTAATTTGACTTTTTACTGCCTAGTCACTCAATATTGTAAAGTCTTTCTTCACAGTCAACCCTTATCATATCTACCCTGAATGAGTATCAGCAGCTAAGTTTTTCACTTCACAATTTATCCTGTTTTCCAGCTCATTTATAAATAAGAGAGTAGCTCCCAAGTTCCAGCACAGATCCCTGCAGGATTCCACCATTGACCTCTCTCCACTTGAAAAATTGACAGTAGTGTCCTACCATCTGTTTCCAATTATTTATCCTTGCAAGGGCATTTATTTTTATCCTCTGGGAGTCTAGATTTTTTAAGACTTATGAATGATAGATTCATCAAATGCCTTTTGGAAATCCAAGTAAACATTGTTAACGAAAACCATAGTACACATTATTTTTTACTTCTTTGGAGAACTCTAGTAGTTTTGTGAAAAAATTACTTTAAATAGGTGCATTGGTCTTACTTCACGTCCTTTCATCACCCAAATATGTCATGTTTGTACACATGCTGACATATACTGTTTCTTTCATAGTTCTACTGATTTATGTGGTGCAGGTGTTGGTCTTTCTGGGGTTCCCCAGGTTTTCCCTGGATTTGTTTTAAACTAGTTTTTAAAACTGGTTTCCTATCACTCAACTGTCAGATCTTTGAGGCCAAAGCACCATAATGAAGAGGTTATTACATGCCACAATTAA